GACCCACCTCCTCTGTGCTGTCATTGGCAAATACATTCAATTTCAATTTGTTACAGTCCCAAGGATACAGTTACAAACACATTTATAAAGCTCGTTTTACTTTAAAAAAATCAGTTAAGAAAATAAATATTCACTTACGCTATCTTATAATTATGTAATTACCTTAATTAGTGTTATTTTTCTTACACATTCGAATTATTGTCTGGGCTCATTTTCATTCAGTCTGAAGAACTTCTTTTTGTATTTTTCATAAGGTCTGTCTGCTAGCAACAATTTTTCTCAGTTTTTACTTGTCTGAAATGTTTCTATTTCACTTTTATTTTTAATTTTTTTAAAAAATTTAATTATGGGTACATAATAGTTGTGATGTTTTGATAAAGGTGTGCAGTGTGAATTAATCAAATCAGAGTAATTAGCGTATCCATCACCCTTATTTTTAATGTATAGTTTTCTTGGGTATACGATACTTGCTGGACAGTGTTTTTATTTTGAGAATTGAAAAAATAATTTATAAATAAGAACTGGAAAATCTTCCAAGAAGGCAAAGAAATCAAGACCTAAGAATGCTTATTGAATAGAGCAATGAGGTCACAGTAATGGCAGCTGATGGTAGATTGGACTGGTTTGGAGATGGCAGAATTGTAATGGAAGACAATAGAAGTTGGGTGATCAGGTAGTCTTGACTGTATCCAAGTGGAAAATTATTTGTTACAGCATCAAAGATGGTACATGAGGGGTGCAGCAGACTGAAACCCAGTGTGCTTAGATCTGGTGCCTTCGGGCAATATGTGTAGGTTAAGTGGGAGAAAAGTTACCACTCTACCATCAGATTATATTCGAATAAAGAAGTGTACCGTGAACATGACAGTCATGAGCAAGGTTAAGTTTAATGTTAGAGTTAGTTATAATAAAGGTGTCGTGGATGGGTGTCAGAGAAGCAAATAAAATTGTCAGTTGCTAAGGATGCTATAATCATTTTATTAACCACACTCTAATGTTGAGTGTGTGAATAGAAACAACAGAGGGAACTGAGGGACACGGTGGCAGAACACACCCCCGTGAGAGCTTGGATGCCCATGTTGAAATCAGGTATTTTGGTAAGGACACTGCATAATCCAACCCTAGATTATCCTTCACTGGGAGTTTCCTTTTTGTCCTCCAAAACTCACCTTCCCAAACTGGTTGTGTCAAAGGAGTAAAAAGATATTTGTATTCTGCTTCCTATGCCAGGTTCTCTGACTTGACCTCTGGAAGAAAGAGCTTTTACTTATATAAGTCTGGTGAAGAGGGCATTTTCTTCTTTTCTGAAAAAGTGTTGCATTGACTACCTGTGTCTCTGAAATCTAGGGCCCACTGGGTAGTATGTGTGAAGGCCACCACGTGTCTCTTGAGTAAGCAAGGATACATTGGGTAAGCTGACATGATGCTAAAAAAAAAAGTTGGAAGTTAGAGTTATTTTTTGACTTCTGTTTTGTTGACAAGGACTGAGACCAGACAACCCACCTGGGAAAGGCTACATAAGAAAATGAGCTCACACATCATAAAGTTTGGAACCCAGCTGTTGCTACTCCATTATTTTCCAGAGATTAGCCCCTTTGGTGGCTCCTCTTTCCAATAATTCCAGGGCCACAGCTGTCCTGACTCTACAGGTGGCAGGACAATTTCGAGCCTGAAGGGAGATGAACTGACAGCATCTCTTCTTTATAGCCATGTCTTAGGGACCACAGTCCTCATACACAGAATAGCTCCAAGACTCAGCTGTGTGTGTCTGTTTCTCAGCTTTAATAACAGTGAGAGCTCAAGACTCAGGTGAGTAATGGGAGGAGGAAGGATTTCCTCAGTGATGTCAGTAATTCTCCCATCTTTTGTTTTTATATCTTACTGAATTGTAACTAATTAGGTGTTTTCAGATAAAGGATAAAGTTGGTTAATATATAACAATATAACAACATAATAAATTTATACATTTTAGAATGGAAGTTAGTAATTTTGTGAAGTTGCATTTGAATTGGAATTTCGATTATTTAGTATTTCTCATTTTAATAAATTAGTACAACGAATTATCTTATGCATTTATGAAAAATTTCCCTTTTTAGGCATGACAAATCTGAGCAAATTCAGAATGATTAAATCATACTCATTTTTTTGTTTGAAGATATTTTTGTATGTTTCTAATACTTCAAGACTATCCAAGTAATGAAGTCATAAAGTAATGTTTTACAAACTTGAATGACAAGAGTATTCCTTTATCATAAAAATCTTCTAAATTTACTACCGCTATTTTTTTCTCTGAAAGTTTCACATTGTACTTAGCTCAAGACAACACAGCAACAAGTAAATTCCAATGTAGTTGTTGAAAGTCACAAGTTAATATTATCCGAGTTAAGTAAGGTTAGTATTTTTTAGTGTCTAGTTTTTAAATGGAAAAGAGAGAGGATGGACACTGTTGAAAACAGAAAGCAAGAGAATGACGATGAAAAAAATTATGCATTTGTTGCTCATGAGAGCATGAAAACCTTGAAAATCTTGATCAGTAGAAAAACTTTTCTGTTCCTGAACATTAGAGACTTTGTTTGCCTTAAAATATTTCTTGATAAAAGCCGCTGAATTTCATGTGGAGGAGGGAGGATGTCTGAGAGAAAGGGTGTTGATGGACCCTGGTAACCATTCCTGAGCACACAGGACATGCCATCCGTTTCTTTCTTAGTACAGCATCTGACACAGTTCATAAGACCGTGATCTTCTCACTACTGCGATACATAGACATGTAATGGGAAAAGCCATTACAAAGATAAATGAAGGTTTTTGAAAACAATACAGAAAGGTCAAAATTGACTTGAAGTAGAAAACCTGGATAGACCGACGATCAGAGAGGAAAACTGAAAAAGTTATCAGCAAAGAGGCTCCAAAAAGCTCTGAGAGAGATGGTTTTCCGCATGAGCCCTCCACGAGCCCCTTGTGGGTGCGCAGCCGCCCGGGCCCGACCTCAGGCTGCGCGGCAACCGGGACAGGGCGAGCTGCAGAGGGGGGACCCGCGCAGTCCGGGGTGGGGTTGATTCCTGGCGAGGCTGGGGCACAAGGAGCTGGGCCGCCTCCCCGCTCCTCTTCGCCTCCAAAAGGCCCGCGGCGGTGCCGCCGCTCGGACCGGAAGAACTTCTCTGAGCCCGCCCGCCTGAGCTCCCGGAGAGGGCTGGCGCCTCCGCCGGGGAGGAGCGGCGCGGGCGGGTTCTGCGAGTGCTCGTCTGACCGTGTCGCCCCCGCGGGGAGGAGTCGGCCGCGCAGCCTCCTCCCGCCGCTCCGCCCCTCCCGCCCCCGCGTCCCCGCCCTGCGGCGCCTGCGCCTCCCAGCGGCGCTCTCGGGCCATGGCTGCTGCCACTCCCTTCCCGGATTAGACTTCTTAACCATATTCGGTTATTCTTCTCATGACCATAGAATGCACCCTGAAGTAGATAAAGCATTTAGAAATGAACAAACAACAGCAAAAAAGAAAATACCTGCAACAGATATGACAAATTGTAGTTCCCTTACAACCGCAGCTAAATACCTATAATAAGGAACCACGAACATGCCAAAGGCTTACGAGGCAGTGCACATGGATAGACAACTCAACAGAAGTTAAATATGAATGACCGAAAACGTAAAAACTTGTCTATTAAAATAGTGCAAGGTGTATTTGTTTTAACAGTTATAAGAGTACAATAAAACGTGTAGTTCGTATACTGTACTTGGAAACGTTTCATGAAAAGGGATCATTTTTAAATGTTCAAAACCTTTTACCTAGTCATTTCATTTCTAGGAAAACTCAACAACCATTTTGGCACAATAGTATCTGTAGTCTTATTTATAGTAGAGGAAAATTGAGAATAGCCAAAATATCTAACAGTTGAAAACTAGTTAAACTATGGTGTGACTCCAAAGCCAGAAATCATAGTGAAGAACATGGATATATTTGATTACACACAAAATTTAAACCACCGTACCATGGAATATTTGAATAATGACAAAGCAGGAAAAGTTTTTATATATTGCATAGATATGTTATATATACATGAAATATTTTTAAACCCCGTACACATCAACTAGTGAAAGAAAAACGTCCCAATTTAAAATTGAGCAAAGAATGTGAATTAATTATTAACAAAAGAAGAAACACAAATAACCAATAAACATAAGAACACATGTTTAACCTCACCAGCAATCAAAACATTTCAAATAAAAGTGCAATGTCATATTTTACCTCTCCAGATGCTTGTGTTTTATTTAGAGGTTTTAACTAGGCTTGTAAATGTGACAGAGATAATATCAAAAAAGATAGATTGCATACAGTGTTGATGGAGACATAAGAAAATTAACACTTGTATAAAGCTGGTGGACACTGGTGAATGCTAATGAAGGCCAAATTGGCAGTGTATGTAAAAGCCTTTATGAAGTTTTACTTGAATGAATCAAGGAAGACAATGAGAAAGTGTGCAATAATGTGTGTATATGATTTTATTTACATGACGTTCAAAAAGAGGCAAAAATTATATTGAATATATAGATAAGCACAGTACCAAGCAAATCTAGGAAAAGATTAACCTCTGTAGGGCAGAGAGGGAGACCTAGTTGGGAAACTTCCAGAATACTACCAGTACTAGTAGCAGCATTCTGTTTCCTAAGCTGGATAGTGGATATGTGGTGTTTACTTAATTTCCCTGGGGAAGGGGTGTCCTCAAAAGGAATGCTGGTGCATGGATTTCACCTATTCCAGTGTCATCTGACCAGCCTCGCCCACCCCCAGCTGGAGTCAGGGAAGGAGCTGAGCTGGTCAGATGCCGGGAGGAGGAGCCCAGCTAGCCTCCCAAACCCAACCTTGGCTGGCCAGGCCCCTTAGTGCACACTGCAGGGATAGGTAGGGGCTGACCCTCTTGGGTATTGTGAGGGGAGGAATAGCAGCCCCCTTAGGCTTCAGATGTGGCACGGTTTGTTCCTGGAGGCAGGGAGGGGGGTGGCAGTGGCCCCTCCTCTGCTTAGTGGCCACTGGAGGGGGCCTCTCCAGGGCTACAGGTGGATGGCTGTGACATCTGTGGGAGTGCTGGTCTGGGTGAGCCCCTGGCTGCTGGAGCCCCGGGGGGCTTTAGGCGCTGGGCTGGAGCTGGTCTGGGCAGCTCCCCTGAGGCTCTCCCTGAGCGCCGCTTCGATCTGCTCCTGACAGGCCCGCCCGCAGTCCACTTCCGTGCCTGGGATCCCTGCCAGCAGCTCCGTGAGCTCGTCCCCGGAGGCGGAGCAGGCACCCAGGCCTTGCATCGCAGCCCCAGTGCTGCCTGTTGAGATCATGGGCGGCGGGCACACGGCAAAGGTGTCATCTGTAGCACAGAGGGCCAAACAGGTCTGGGCGTGCTTTTTGACCAAGGCCTGTCGGTCACGGGGCAGAGGGAGTCGGTGCAGAATGAGGGCTAGGAAATCACGCGCAATCACGGCAGCCTGTCCCACTTGAGCTTCCGAAGAACCAGCACCTCCCAGTCCCGTAACTGGCGGGGAGAGAGCATGGTCGCTGCAGATGCACAGTTTTTCCATGGTCAGGGGCGTGGCCTCTCGCAGCTTGGAGGGCAGCAGCTTGCAGACCGCACCCAAGAGCTGCAACTGTGCCTTTCGGGCGGGGACGCAGGACAGGTAGCGATCCGAGCAGTTCATGGCCAGGCTTCCTCCTCACAGCGCTGCTCCTCACGCACCTCCAGCATCCAGTATGCCCGCGTCTTCCGCATGTGCGGCTTCATCTCCCGCTGCACGCACTGGAAGTAGGAGGCGCGGACACGCAGCGCTCCTGCAGACAGAACGAGCACTGCAGGACACGTTGGTGCCCTAGCAGCCGCAGGTCCCGCCCGGCCCGGGGCGCCTGCCGGGTGCCCTCGCAACGCAGCAACTCCGTACTCACGCGGCGCGCGGGCAGGACCCGAGTGCGGGCTCGAGAGAGCGCGGGGCGCGGTTCCGGCGCTGGCACTGCGCGGGGGGCCCAGCCCGCCCGCTGTCCGCGCGCCGCTTCCCTGCGTTCTTTTTTTTTTTTTTGATATTTTAAAGAAATTATTTGATTGTGTTCTGATATCTGTAGCAGCTGATAAGCACAGTGCTCTTACTCTGATTAGCTTTCGTTTGTAGGTAATCTCCTTTCTAGTAACCTATATGAATTTGTCTTTGTAAGGCTGGTGGCAGGCACCCCTCCCCCCTCTCTAAAGCTGTAAAAGAAGAAGCAGTGGACTGTGCCCGCCGAAAATAACCAAACGCGGACGATAAACCAGACACAGGCAGTTTCCGTTCCCGGGACTGTGCAGCAGACTCCGTTTCTCGGAACCTGTCAAAACCCTCAGTGGAAAATCCCCAAACCAGCTTCAGGCAGCATAAAAAGCCCTCGCGCCCTCCGAAGGGGCGCGACTTGTCTGGCCTCCTCTCTTGGGACCAGTGAACTTTGCCCGGGAGCGCTCTCTTTTCCTCCTTCCCCAAAAAAGCCTCCTTGCTTGCCTTTTTCACTCTGCTCATTTTTCTCTGCTGCAGCCCATCCAGAAACCTTAGTCTTCATATTTGATTTTCTCTATAATTTATTTACATGTATATTTGTTTTTATATATCATGCTTAGAATTTGGTATGCTTTTGAAACCAAGGACTCATGTCATCAATTCTGGAAAATACTGGCATTTCTTTAATAATATTACCTTTCCCCTATTTCTCAATTTTTTTTTCTCCTGAAATTCCTGTAAAATATATTTTTAGGTTTTTTTCCATCCCTGGTTAAGATATTCTGTCTACTCAGTTTCTTAACTTCCTTTCCGTATTTTTCTTCCCTTTCTTTATATTGCTTCATGCTTTAATCAGATCTTTCTTCCAATTTACTATTTCTCTTTTACACTTTATTATTTTAATCCATCAATTGAAATTTTACTCCAGTAACTACATTTTCTGTTTTATAAGCTTTTTCTTTGAAATGTATGGGGAACTGCAATGCAGCAGGTCTCATAAAGTTGAGTTCCTGCAAGAGCTCTAAGGTCTGTGAACCCTTTTTTTCCTTCCATAGTATCGTTCTCTTTCCCTATGATTTCTGTGCCTTCATTTATCTCTTTGAGTATTTTAAACATACCTGGAAGACTCTTTAAGGTGTTGATTCTCTTGTTTATTGAGGTGTTTCTCTGTCTTGATGGTTTGTTTCCGCGTATGTTTTTAGTTTCTACCTGCAAAGTCATCTTCAAAGGAACTTGTTTTCAGTGGGCTTCTATGTCCTCTGGATGGTCAAGTAGTCCCTATGGAGCTGTTTTGTGCTGGCCCCAGGCTGAGGACCCACGGGCCTTGCCCATTGCAGAGAAGTTTTCAGGTGAACTGCGCTGGACAGAGTTTTTGCCTCCTGTCAAGATTCCTTGAACTTGACTAAGACTCCAGCAGAGGGCTTCTGTGGTCCCAGGTATGCTGTGCCGTTTCTTTGCTTTTCTGGGTCCTTCAGTGCCCCTTGGAAGCAGACCTGTGGTCATAGCCTGGGAATAGCGCAGTCCTGCTTCTGAAGCACACTCTCACTGCACCTGCTCTTCTAGCATCTGATGTTCCTGCTCGGCCCACCTGTGTTCACCTTTGCAGTCCCTTGGCCTTGCCTAGGTCTGTGTTTCCACCTTTCCTAAGCAGCGGTGTGGACAAGTAAGAGCCCCTGGGCTTTGAGAATGGGGCAATACCTGGTAAACCCAGGTCACAAACAGGCAGTGGACACATGGGTTAGTGGCTTTCAGCTGACCCCTGCCCTTGGGGACTCTGGTAACCTCAGGTGCCCGAATGGCTCCATAGCTTCTGGTCACATTTCATCCTAACCCCCACGTGACCCCATTTCTGTCCACACCATCCAGCCAAAATCAGACTCACAGAGGACTCTGATTTTTCACCCCTCACCATGAAGCTGAACCTCCACTGGGGACCAACCCAGAGCTCTACTCCAAGGAGTCCTGAGAACAAGACTGTTAATGTCTGGCCCTCGGTCCCTCTGTAGCCTCCTTCCACCTTTCTGACATTCCACCTGCATCTCTCGTTCCTTCCCTCGCCCCCTCTGCTCACAACGCATTCCAGGGCCCTTGAAGCCTGCCTTCCAGCAGTCCCAGCCGACCTTGCAACCGCACATGTACATGTCACTGTGTCTGGCACCTGTCATCATAGTGACTGCCGTGGTTGCCTAGGGATCGTGTCCCTGATGCATCAGGGAGAGGGAGCACTCTTTCAAGCCATTGGACGGATGGTCCCTGGATCCCAAGATAGGTGGCTGGAGGGCCAAATGGGCTGAAGGAACCTCGTCGATGCACTGTGGGATCCATCGCCGCCTCACGCCTGCCTCGTGGGTGTGCATATAAGTCTCCCCGAACGGTTGTGGGCCCTGTGACGTGGACGGCTTGACTGCCTGTGTGTGCCTGGGCTACTCTGTTTTGATGGTGCTTCTTTGTTGGGGGGCATAACACCCTAGCCTCAGGAGCTGCCTATATGCATGTGTGTTGTGTGTGTGTGTTTGTGTGTGTGAGTTACTCTCAGGGTGTTTGTGTGTGTGTTTGTGCATGTGTGTTTTTCTGTTGTTTGTGTTTGGTGCTCGATGGGAGGAATGTGTCTCATGTGCCGCAGGAGGGCTTCTTCGAGCCAGCTTTCCCTCTGGTGAGCCCCTCCTGTGCTTCCACTTGAGCTGTGTGGCCCGGTGAAATCTGTCATTTTTGTGGTTCCTGTTTAAGTTTGTGAAGGCCTGGGTGGGTTAGGGGACTGACTCAGAATGAGAGGAGGTAGGTATCGGCTCCCCACTGGGAGGGACCACTTTTCCCAACATAAGAGGGCCACATCACAGTTGAGAGAAACCTCAGGAGGAACTCATGCTGGGCATGCAGGAGAAGTGCAGACAGACGTCAAAGAAAGTCCCCATCCCCCTTTTCCCCTGGTGGTCACATCTATCCTTGTCATGGCCCAGTGATGGAGAAGCAGAGCACAGGGACAGGGGTTGTTGGGCTTGAGGGAAGTATAAGCTCCTTGCCAAGGAGAAATGCGATGCTAATAAACCATGGCATGCAATGGCATCACAATTAATCAAAACGTCACCTTTGGTTGTTTGTGATAAAGTGCCAATTGAAGCAAGTGCCTTGGGGCTCAAGTGACTGATTCAATTCACAATTATGAGAATAATGATGACTCTAAGTAGTGGGTATGAAATGAATTCTTTGGAGTGCACTTCAATGCTCACAGAGAGGAAAATAACAAGTTCAAGTCCATTGACTCTCAGCTCAAATCATGGTGTGAGATTCAGAGGGCTTCCATAACAGCCCTAAGGGAATCTTTTATTT